AAATCACCTGGGTTTATTTACTTATTTATTTATGACTGCAGGGGGTCCTCATTGTTTTGGGTGGGCTTCCTCCGGTTGCAGTGAGTGGGGGCCCCCCTTTGTAGCAGAGCATGGGCTTCTCGTTACAGCGGCCTCTCTTATTGCAGAGCATGGGATTCAGGCACGTGGGCCACAGTAGTTGCAGTGTGCGGGCTCTGGAGTGCAGGCTCACTAGTTGTGGAGCACAGGCTTATTTCACCTGAGGCATATGGAATTTTCCCAGACCAGGGATCACACACATGTGCCCAGCATTGGCAGGAAGACTCTTATCCACCATGTCACCAGGAAAGTCTCCAAAATCACCTAGTTTTTAATTCATGTTTGGAGGAATCCAGAATAGTACTTGGAAAATATTTACAGTCTTGATCACTTATTTTCACAACTCATACATCACTATGGCCTTCCCTAACCATGAGAACCTTGGGACTTTCCGCCTGGCTTCATGGTAGTGAGGATCCTGAGTGCCTGTTCCGGGGCCTTGTGATTTCCTGGTGCGTCATCACATTGTCACGCGCCCTGCTCTGTGTGTGCATCTGCAGGGCCCCCTGAGCACTTGCCGCCACCCTTGGGAACAGATCAGCTCAGCCATGTACCTTCTCATCGTTCGCCCCAAACACATCAGGCTCCAGTGTGCTGTGAACTTAGTCACTTCCCTGATGTTGTTGAACATGGAGCTGAGGGCAGGGTGGGCGCAGGGCAGCACAGAGCTTCCCGTTCGCCTGGCCCCATCCTGCACCCTCTATTTCTCACTCTCCGCATTCCTCTGGCAGGCAGCAGGCATCTACGCTGGTGTCCAGCAGGAATGTTTCAGCCACATTCAAGCCCCAGAGACTTTCGCCCTGATTCTGGCTTCTCGAAGCATTTTCTCAACAAGGGGAGGGAGTCTGCCTCTTATTCCTCCCTGCTAAGAAAATCATTCATTTTTCTCATTATTCCCTTATTGTTTTAAAGGCTGTATTACATAGGATCTGACTGGAGCCCACAGAGATTATTTGGGAACTCTAAAACGAAATTCAAAAGAGCTTTAATCACATCTTCTAAGAGGTCCATTCCCCTCACATCCTAGGAGTTTCAAATACCAGCCAAATAGCATCAAGTGCATTTGCTTGTGGGCCTGGAATAGAGCACTTCCTGCTGCCAGGAAGGGCTTTATGAAGCTGTGATCTTTGTCCAGAGGGCAGCTGAGTGGGGTACAGGCTCTGAGGGTCCCCATTTTCATGATGCTGTTTCCCTCCTGGGGTCTCATGCATAAGTTCTATGGCCATCTCTCCAGGCAGCACTCATCAGGTTAGGCAGTAAATTGCCCTGGCCGTTTTCCATGGGGCGTTTGCTTAATTATGTAGAGAGGCTCAGAGGGAAAAGTCAGGAGGAGAGTGTTTACCTTAGTCCCGTCTGCCTCTGCAGGGGACCCTGGTGTGAGCACAGCTTGGCAGCTGAGACTGTCTGCAGGCAGATCTCCAGAATTTGTCTTGTTATGAAGTCTGATGTAACAGGACATCCATCCAACTGCTAGAAACTTCTATATTTCCTAAAGACCCTTCTCTTCTTGTGCTGACATTACCCAGGATGGACAGAAATTAAAACAACAAAAATGCCATTCTCTTTGATGACCAAGCTTCTTTCTTAAATGAGCTTTTATTGCAGTATAGTTGCTTTTTAGGGCTTCCCAGGTGGGTCAGTGGTAGAGAATCTACCTGCCAATGTAGGAGACATGGCTTTGATCTCTGGGTAGGGAAGCTTCCCCAGAGGAAGGCATGGCAACCCCCTCCAGTATTCATGCCCTGGAAATCCCATGAACAGAGGAGATTAGTGGGCCACAGTCCATGGGGTCACAAAGAGTCAGACACAGCAGAGCATGCACGCATGCACACAGCTGCTTTTCAATGTTGTGTTCGTCTCTACTGTATAGCAGGGTGAGTCAGCTCTAAACGTCCCCTCTGTTTTGGACTTCCTTCCCATTTCGGTCCCCACAAAGCGCTGAGTAGAGTTTCCTGTTACACATTACGTTCTCATTCAGCTCAGTTTAGTCACTCCGTTGTGTCCGACTCTTTGAGACCATGTAGACTACAGCAGGCTTCCCTGTCCTTCCCTGTCCATCATCAACTCCCAGAGCTTGCTCAAATGCCTGTCCATTGAGTCGGTGATGCCATCCAACCATCTCATCCTCTGTTGTCCCTTTCTCCTCCTCCCTTCAATCTTTCCCAGCATCAGGGTCTTTTCCAATGAGTGAGTTCTTCACATCAGGTGGCCAAAGTATTGGAGTTTCAGCTTCAGCATCAGTCCTTCCAATGAATATTCAGGACTGATCTCCTTTAGGATTGACTGGTTGGATCTCCTTGCAGTCCAAGGGACTCTCAAGAGTCTTCTCCAACACCACAGTTCAAAAGCATCAATTCTTCAGTGCTCAGCTTTCTTTATAGTCCAACGCTCACATCCATACATGACTACTGGAAAAACCATAGCCGACTAGACAGACCTCTGTTGGCAAAGTAATGTCTCTGCTTTTTAATATGCTGTCTAGATTGGTCATAACTTTTCTTCCAGGGAGCAAGTGTCTTTTAATTTCATGGATGCAGTCACCACTTGCAGTGATTTTGCAGCTCAGGACAATAAAATTTGTTACTGGTTCCATTGTTTCTCCATCTATTTGCCATGAAGTGAGGGGACCAGATGCCATGATCTTCGTTTTCTGAATGTTGAGTTTTAAGCCAGCTTTTTCACTCTCCT